AAAGCCACAGGCTGGCCTTTCATTTTTTATTTTTGGAGTTTACTGTTACTATATAGAAATGCCAATAACCAGCTAGCTGGTGGCATGATGGTTGAGGTGGCTAACATCCCACATGGCTGACTGCACAATTCGAGTCCTGGACCCTGTGGCTTGAAAATCACATTGGGCGCTTGTGTGTGCCTGTCCAAAATCCCAAAAGGAGAGAAAAAGGGATAGAGGTGATTGCCCCCATGAGGGGCACTTTCTCTCTTGCCCTGTCTCTCCGCAGCAAGCACACTTGCCCTCTGGCAAAATTAAAAATAAATTAAAGAGAAAAAATGGTAAAGAAATGCTACTAACTTACATATCCTGTAACTTTACTGAATTTATTACTTCTAACAGTCTTTTAGGGTTTTTAGAGGTTTTCTATATAAAATCATGACGTATGCAAACAAGGACAATGTATTTCTTCCTTTCCAATTTGGGTGCCTTTTATTTTTTCTCTTCTCTAATTGCTTTGGCTCAGACTTCCAGCACTATGTTGAATTACAGTGCTGAGAATGAGAAGGGCATCTTTGTCTTGTTCTGACCTTAGTGAAAAAGCTCTCTCGCCTCTTCCTTATTGAGTCTATTGACTATGTGCTTGTCATTTATGGCCTTTGTTGTGTTGGTGTGCATTCCTTCTATACATAATTTGTCTTTTCTCTTACTACACAAAGATACTGAATTTGGGCAACTGTACTTTCTGCATCTATTGAGATTATCGTATAGTTTCTGTCCTGGGGCCAGCAGGTGGTGTAGTGGTTCAAGTGTTAGACTCCCACACATGGCCGACTGTGGTTTGAGTCCTGGACTCAGTGGCTTGAAAAATCACATTGGTCATATCTGTGTGCATGCTTATAATCCCAGGAGAAAGGAGAACAGATTGTGGCATGGCCACCCACCTTGGGGGGGTGATTTCCCACTTTCCCTCTCACTGTCTCTCTTCAGTGAGTGCATGTACCCCATGGCCAAAACAAAAGCAGTTTTTGTCCTTCATTCTGTCAATGTGGTATATACTTCAAAGATTTGCGTATGTTGAACCATACTGTACCCTCCACATAAATCCTACTTGATCAGGGTGAACTTTTTTTTTTTTTAAATTGCCAGAGTTATGTGTGCTTGCTAGAGAGATAGAGACAAATGGAGAGGGAGGAAGCACCCCGTAATAGGGTACAGTCATACCACAATTCCTTCTTCATTTCTCTGTCCTGTTGGGATTTTGGTCACACACTCATACACACCCAGCATGGTTTTCAAGCCATCGGGGTTAGTACTCGAGCCATGGTCGGTCACATGGGATCTGCCTCCCTTAACTACGGCTAAAGACTGGCCTATGAACGTTCTTTAATGAGCTGTTGAATTTGGCTTGCAATTATTTTGTCGAGGATTTTTGCACCTATTAATACATTCATCGGGAATATTGGCCCATAGTTTTCTTTTGATATTGTTTGCCTTATCAGGATAACCCTCTCATAAAATGAATTTGGAAGAATACTTTCTTCTTTCATTTCTTAGAACCATTTAAGAATTGGTGTTCTTTACTAAATGTCTAGTGGATTCAGCAGTAAAGCCATCAGGTCCTAAGCTTTATGCTGAGAGATTTTTTTTAATTGCCAATTCATCTCATTATTGGTCTGTTCTGGTTTTCCATTTCTTCTTCGTTTAGTCTTGGTTGGCTGTATGTATCAAGGGATGCATTCATTTCTTCTAAATTATCCATTTTGTCAGTGTATACATTCATAGCAGTCTCTTATAATCCTTTGTGTCTCTATGGTATCACTAGTAACGTGTCCTCTTTCATTACTGATTTTGAGCCTTCTCTTATCAAGCTAATGAAGTGATTTTTTTCCCTCAAAAAACCGTCTTTGATGTTTATGTTTTATACTGGTTTTCTACTCTCTACTTCATTTATTTCTGCTCTGGGAGGTGGAGAATTGACAGAATTTGGATGGGAGATAGCCCCATCCCCGCGATATCATATCCTATTTGCTTTCGCCACTCCCGACATAGAAGCAGTCAGACACCTCTTTCTCCTCTTGTCAAGAGCAGGAGCACAACTCCTTCCAGATGCTTCCTATCTCTCTGCCTTCTTAACCCAACACACTGCAGCCTCTGCCACCCTCAGATGCCCCCCAGTACCTGCTATGGTATAGGTAGGCAGCGGTAATGGTATGTATTTTTTTTACCACAATGAAAAAAATCATCATGAATGAAATTAGAGTAAAAAGGTCACTTTAAAGAGACAGACTATTCCACAGATCGGGGAAAGTCCCAACAATGGCCTAATTAGTATTACTACAGTAGGGAAATGATCAGTATGGAAACATGGAAAAAGGAGACCAGAGATAACAGAGATAGTAGAAGAGATGATCAAACTCAGTCAGAGAGTTCCAGTTACTTGAGAACCATTTTGTCACAGCGAGGGATGACTTATCAACTCCACCATGGCCTAAAATGTACATGTATCTCTTAATTCTGAACCTGTTAACATGCTTATGAAGAATCTTTTAGACAGGTGATTTGGGATAGAATGTTTTGTTCTCTTAGAGAAAGGCAATAGAAAATAGACAGATGTAGTTTCTGTCAATGAAAAGAAAAATAACCCTTTATAAATGAATGAAATAGCATCCTTGTGTATACGCACTGTCCCTTCTGTTCTGACTCTGGTTATTCGAAGTCAGTTTCCTCTCTCTGATCAACTCAAGACTGATTTTATGAAACTGAGGGTGAACTTAAGGGCAAAATCATCAATGATGATGACCCACCAATAAAATGATAATTTAGGAGCCATTTCTGGTTAGCATATGATCACTCTCCCACTCCCAAAACCACAACAGGGTAAAAATGATTGATAAACAGCAAAAAAGCATCAAAAGAACACTCAACTTATTTTTAGAGATTTATTTTTGTGTCTGTTTTTCAAAGGAATAATAGTAACAAATAATAACAGTAACAAAAAAATCAAGACTTCATTAAAAGTACTTATTCTTAGTATAGAGAACATAATTTTAAGATTCCCTATTACTAATTATTTGAAGACTATAACCCAGACTTCAACAGTGGAAGCTAGTATAGAGAACATAATTTTAAGATTCCCTACTACTAATTATTTGAAGACTATGTCCCAGACTTCAACAGTGGAAGAAGGGGAAAAGGACAAAAAGGAAAACTAACACAAACAAAACCAAAAATGGGACGATAATTCGAAACAATTTGGTTCCACTTAATTTTAAGTATATATATATATGTTTTAGAAGAATTATATTTAACATTATTTATTTATTTACATTTGAGAAGAGAGGGACAGAGAGAGAGAGAGAAAGTGAGAAAGCAAGCCACCAGGTCCGGGACTCAAACAGTGGTCGGCCATATGGGAGCCCAGCATCCTTAACCACCACGCCATCTGCTGGCCCCTGAAGTATATTTTTAAATAAGACTGTATGTGCATGAAAATTTCTGAGACGAACAATACTTTCATCTTGTTACAAAGACTAAAGTGGTCAAAGGAATCTGAAAAACACCGTTAGGGCCCAGTTTGCCTGCTATAATGTATTCCAAACTCCTGGCTCCACTTTGAATTTCAACAGAGAAGCCAAACAACATTGGCTGCTGAGATGCTCCACGATAAATGTGGGAGGAAAGTATTTGGTGAAATATAGACTCAGTGGATGCAAACACCTTAGGAGAGGTTCTGGTCAAAACATGGCTCTTCTCTATGAAGCTTCTAGAAGAAATCATTCAGCTCCTTCTACTGCTGTCGTGGAAACAGGTTTCACATAGTATGGGCCTTCGCTCAGGTAAGTTCTGAGCCTCAAATAATTTGGGTTCCCAAAGATTTCTGCAATTGTCTTAGAATTGGCAAGTGCTTTTACCAGTTCATATTTGGCGTCCTTTGAAGCTTTGTCATGTTCCACAGACCGGTCCATCACATATTCTACAAAACCTGGACTGTTAAACATGAGTTTCTGAGCCCAGGGTTGGTTTGCGATGGCCTGAAATGGAAGGTAGAAAGAACGTAACTCCTCTGAATCTTAAGTTTGTCAATGGAATAACACGACACTTAGAAAGAAATGTGATCATGTGAATCTTGGAAACATAAACTTTTGTCCAAATAAATTCTCTCCTATGAATCTAATTTAAGAGAATAATTCTAAATATTGGGTCATCAGGAAAGTCATGACACATTTTTTTGCATAGAAACTTTCCCCACGACACAATAATAAAAAGCTTTGTATATAAAGATGTTTATCGCTGTGTAAAAGTCACAATATAAGTGTCTAATAATGGAGGAATGGTTAGGTAAATTACGGTAGACAGCAATCAAAAACAAACTTTAAGGCTAATGGGGCCAGCAGGTGGCATGGTAAAGGTGCTGGTGGCATGGTGAAGGTGCTGGTCAAATCTGTGGTTCAAGTCCCAGACCTAACATCTTGAAGAACACATTGGGTGCCTGTGCACATGTGCCCCAAATCCTGAAACAAGAATGGCGAAGGGGGGGCGGCAAGTGGCATGGTGATTAAAGGCGCTGGTCTCCCACATGGCTGACTGTGGTTCAAGTCCCAGACCTAACATCTTGAAGAACACATTGGGCGCCTGTGCACATGTGCCCCAAATCCTGAAACAAGAATGGAGAAGGGATTGTGGAGTAGCTATCATCCAAGGGGGTGATTTCTCACTTTCTTTCTCTCTCTCTCTCTCTCTTTCTCTCTCTCTCTCTACCCCTGGCAGCAAGTACAGGTACCCTATGGCAAAAATCTAAAAAGAATAATGTTTACATGATCAGCAGGCAACATGGTGGTTAAGGTGCTGGATTCCACATAGCCAACTCTGCAGTTTGAGTCCCAAACCTGGAGGCTTGTGTGTATGCATGCCCAACTCGCAGAGAGGAGAATGGAGAAGGAACTGTGTAGCCATCCCCCCCCTCGCCCGGGGGATGATTTCTCACCTTCCCTCTCTTTCTCTCTCTCTCACAAATGCACATGCCTTATGGCAAAAAATCTTAAAAAAAGAGAAAACTTGACAAAAAATAGATAATGATTTAGGTAAATCTGTTACGTGAAAAAAAAAAAATAAATACAAAAACAGCTCTAAGTTATACACAAGGCATGATTATAGTAGTGGAAAAACAAAAAAACGATAGGAGACTACCCTGAAGACACTTTCATACAAGTGCACAAGATGGTATTTTCAAGAATGTTCATCGCAGTGGCCACCAGGTGGCATGGTGGTTGAGGCACTGGACTCCCACATGGCCAACCATGGTTTGAATCGCAGACCTGGTGGCTGGCTTTCTCGCTTTCCCTCTCTCTTTCTGTGTGTGTCTCTCTCTCATCAGATTAAAAAATAGTAGTAATAAAATGTAATAACTTCCAGGACCAGCAGTTGGCATAATGGCTATGTCGCTGGACTCCCACATAGCCACCAGCAGTTTGATTCCCGGACCTGGTGGTTTAAACTCACGCTGGGCACATGTGCATGTGTGCCCAAGATCCCAAGAGGAGAATGGAGGAGAAAGGATTGCAGTGTGGCCATCCCCCCTGGGGGGGTGATTTCTCGCTTTCTGTCTTTCTGTCTCTCTCTGTCTTTCTGGTGAATGCAAGTACCCTATAGCAAAAACCTCTCTCTCTCAAAAAAGATTATTCATTGCAGTGAATAGATTTGTATCTATTTGTAATAGATTCTATCTAAATCTTCATTTATAGCAGAACAGCATATTGTAGCTATCTAATAAAATACTTTCTCACTGCCTATTTTTTAAAAACCTTTATTTTTATTTATTTATTTTAATTTGACCAGAGAGGGAAAGAGTATGAGAGAGAGAGAGAGAGAGAGAGAGAGAGAGAAAGTGAGAAAACAAGCCACCACATCTGGGACTCGAACCATGGTCAGCCATGTGGGAGTCCAGTCTCCTTAACCACCATGTCACCTGCTGCCCCTCTCACTGCCTATTTTAACACAGGTAAAATTTAAAACCAATGTAGAAGAGAAAAAGCAAATTACAGAATGATATGAACAGCATGATACCATTTACAAAGCTTAAGAATAAATAAAAAAAAAACCTATGCTGTATTTTGTTAAGGATACATACACTCTGTAGCAAAAATATGAAGTCACGTGTGGGCCTGGAAACCCTGAATTCCTGACAGTACAATGTTCAGAGAAGAAGAGAGGGTAATGGGGCAGGCAGAGGTCACAGGGTCTGACTCTACGTTTGAAATACTGCACCAAAATGTTGGGTTTGGAAAAGTCATCATGCATTTTGGCACAGAAAAATACATCATGACTTTTCCAACAATCCAATATATAATACAAAATACATAGGTAAAAACAACAACAACAACAACAACAACAAAAACACAACAAACAGGTATGGATTTATGCGATTTAAAAAATTTCTACTTCTGGGACCAGCAGTTAGCGTAATAGCTATGTAGCTGGACTCCCACGTAGTCGACTGTGGTTCACGTCCCAGACCCGGTGGCTTAAATTCACGCTGGGCGCGTGTGTGTGCATGCCCAAGATCCCAAGAGGAGAATGGAGGAGAAGGGATTGTGGTGTGGCCATCCCCCCCGGGGGGTGATTTCTCGCTTTCTGTCTCTCTGTCTGACTCTGTCTGTCTGGCGAGCGCACGCGCCCTATGGCAAAAAACTCTCAAAAAAAAAAAATTCTACTTCTCAGTCTTGCCCAAGTTTTGAAATAACAAAGAAGCAAGTTTTAGAATGTTTTCTGAAAACCTTCCTACTATTTTAATAAAGAACAAGTAACGATCTAGTCTATGGTCTAGTTTCTTCCTCTCGAAATGTGTCCCCAGACCAGCAGCGTCAGCATCACCTAGGAGTTCGCTAGAAAGTCAGAGTCTCAGGCTCGACCCCAGAACTACTGAATCAGAATCCACGTTTTCACAGGAAGTTTAGTGAGAAACACTGACCTAGTTAACAACAGCCATTTAAATATAAAGGGTAGGCAGAAATAAAAATAGCCGTTCCAATCAGCAAATAAAAACTTATTTCTAACACAGCGGCCAACTAAGGAGAGAATAAGGTATAACAGATGAGCAGAAACAGAATGAACAAATAACCCACGGCAGGAGCCTAAGTGGCCATCTCACACCATGACCGTTTAGGCAGAGCAGCCTAAAACACACTTTCTGAAAGATGATAGGAATGTCTGTATCTTTCAAGACCCAGATGATGTATCTCATTTTTAGGAACTGTCTCTCTCTTGTCCCCTCCACTCTCCTTGTTCCTGCTCAGTCTAGGCCAAGTATGCTGCTGGAGTTCTCATTTTTTTTTTTGGAGAGGTTTTTTTTTGCTATAGGGTGCGTGCGCTTGCCAGGCAGACAGAGAGAGACATAGAGACAGAAAGCAAGAAATCACCCCCCGGGGGGATGGTCACGCCGCAATCCCTTCTCCTCTCGGGATCTTGGGCACGCACGCACATGCGCCCAGCGTGAGTTTTAAGCCACCGGGTCTGGGACACGAACCGCGGTCGACTACATGGGAGTCCAGCAACATAGCTATTACGCTAACTGCAGGTTCCCTAGAGTTCTCATTTTTGATGATATTACTAAAGTGATTGCCACACTTCCATGAGCCAGGCCATGGTAGGTGCTAGGCCTACAAAGATAAATATGGTTGGGGACCAGCAGGTGGCGTGGTGGTTAAGGCGCTGGACACTCCCACATGGCTGACTACGGTTCGAGTCCTGGACCTGGTGGTTTGCTTTCTCACTCTCTCTCTTTCTGTGTCTCTCTCTGGTCAAATTAAAATGAATAAAATAATTATTTTTTAAAAAAAGATAGGTATGGTTCCTGCTCTGAACAAATAGTATTTAAGTGACAAGGTTCAATAAACATTTTTTGACACAATATAATAAATAGAATACAGAGGTAGAATCCATACCAACAGCTATAAATGTAAGTAACTATTCAATTATATTTATTGCCTGTTTCCCTCAACAGACAGGAAGCTACATGAAAGAAAAGCCTTTATGCGGGACCAGCAGTTAGCATAATGGCTAAGTTTCCGGGCTCCCCAGTAGTTCGAGTCCCGAACCTGGTGGCTTAAACTCACACAGGGCACAATGTGCATGCGTGCCCAAGATCCTGAGAGGAGAATAGAGGAGAGACTGCAGCGTGGCCATCCCCCCGGGGGGTGATTTCTTGTTTTCTGTCTCTCTGGCGAACGCATGTGCCCTGTAACAAAAACCTCTCAAAAATAAAAAAAAGTCTTTATGCATTTTCCTCCTCCTCCGTTTCAGAAAAGTATATTTGAAGAGATACCTGAGCTGCTCCTTGCAAAGTGAGTAAGAAGTTAACCAGGAAAGGGAAGGAAGAGAGCTGGATGCAGGGAGCATGGCAAAGGTCCAGAGATTTGAAAAGAGCAGTTCGGTGTCACTAGAGTATGAAGTGCCAGAAGGGGAATGGCAGGAAACAGGGCTCGGGAAGACCAGGGCTGGGTCAATAGAAGGTGGCAGATAAGGAGTAGGTTAATTCTCTGGTCCTAGATCACTGTCCAAGCCTCAAACAGCACCTAATGTCAGTCTGTTTGCACAGCTGTCTTCCTCATGAGTCTCTGGGTAGCAGAAGGCAGAAACTACAACGCACTGTCTGCCCCCAGCATGGCCCAGAGACTGGCTTATTCTGAGCACTCACTTCTAGGAGAGTCCTAGAAGGACCCAGGACGAGAAGAGAACACCCACCGTGAACACTTTCAAGGCAGCACAATGCAGTTCAGGGAAGGGCTGATTACTGATGCCACGGAAGAGCTCCAGTGGGTCCCGAGACAGAGAGGAAAACCAGGATTCGGTCATCCTCAGGAGGTCATCAGTCTGCTGCTCGGGCTTCAGGACAGAAAAGAGAAATCGCATGACAAGGTTAACATACTAGGAGAAAGTACCTACCCGGAAGCCAGGAAACCATGGGCTGTGGCAGCCCTCTGTCTTTTATGTGCTGTGCGACGTTGGCTAATTCTTTTTTTTTCCTTCCTGGAGAGGTTTTTGCTATAGGGCGTATACGCTCGCCAGAAAGACAGAGACAGAAAGCGAGAAAACACCCCCAGGGGGGTGACCACGCCGCAATTCCTTTTCCTCCACTCTCCTCTAGGGATCTTGGGCACGCATGCATGCGCACCCAGTGTGAGTTTAAGCCACCGGGTCCGGGACTCGAACTGCAGTTGACTACATGGGAGTCCAGCAATTTAGCCATTATGCCATCTGCTGGTCCCGTCCTTGGCTACTTCTGAAGCACTCTTCTTCACACCCAGTCCAGACCTTTTCCAGTTTCTCTCTCTCTTTTTTTTTTTTTAAATTATTTATTTTATTTTGTATTTATTCATTCATTATTCATTATTATTTTTTTAAATTTGACCAGAGAGAGCCAGAGGGTGAGAGTGAGAGAGAGAGGAAGTGAGAAAGCAAGCCATCGGATTCAGGACTCGAACCCTGGTCGGCCATGTGGGAGTGTCCAGCACCTTAACCACCACGCCACCTGCTGGTCCCCTCTCTTTTTTTTTTTAAAAAAAGAGAAAATCTCCAGAGTCTCTTCAGTTCTAACACTGTATGACTCCACTTTAACTTAAAAATGTCACTAGTGATAATATAATGAGGGTTATCTTCTTTCACTAAAAAGTGAGAAAGACAGCACAAACTCGGTCCATATTTGCATTAAGGTACTCAGTATTATATTGACCTAAGATAGACTTATTCTCCCAAATACACCCTGCTGTCTTTCATTAATTTCCCAGTTTACTCACTGGTAACAACAGGAGAGCTGAAACTGCATCCAAACATCTGATTTTTAGCTCCGTCGAGGCATTTTTTGCTTGATGTCCTATTCTCGTGAGCAAGCGTTCAAAGCGAGTCCCTTTGAAAGATCACAATGAGTTTTTTTATTGTGGTAAAAAGCTACCGTTTTAACCGTTTTCTGGCGTACAGCTCAGTGCCAGTAAGGCACAGCAGTTTTACCACTTTACATCTCAACAGAAAGCATAAGGGTTACAATTTCTCCACATAATAACATTTGTTATTTTATGTTTTTAAAAGGTTATTTATTGGCGCCAGCAGGTGGCATGGTGGTTAAGGTGCTGGACACACAGGGCCAATCGCAGTTGGAGTCCCAGACCTAGTGGCTTGAAAAATCACACCAGGTGCATGAGCATGTGTGCCCCAAATCCCAGAAAGAATGGAGGAGAAGGGACTGTGGTGTGGCCATCCTCCCCGGGGGGTGATTTCTCACTTGCCCTCTTACTGTCTCCATCTGTTTCTCTCTGATAAGAGTGAATGCTCAACAGCATGCATGCATAAATAAATAAATAAATTTCTTCCATGAGTGAGATAGACAGACAGACAAAAAGACAGAAAGATAATCTCCCCAGTAAGACAACCTCTTTTTTTTTTTTTTGGTCTTAAACTGCCAGAGGATGCAAGCTTTTGACAGAGACAGACACACAGAAAGAAAGGGGGGAAGAGCGATGGGAGGAGCAGGGGAAAGCACTCCTCGCCGCGGTGTGGTCATGCCACAATCCCTCTACTACCTCTTTCCTCTCCACCCTGTTGGAATTTGGGGCATGCGTGCACATGTGGCCTGTGTATTTCAAGCCACCAGGACTGGGATTCAAACTGCAATCAGCCTGTGGGATTTGACTTAACCACTCGGCTATGGGGCTGGCTTCTGAACAAGGCCCTGAAGCAACAATTCACCTACATCTTTAGCCAGCCCTGGACCACAGGCACACATGTGCCCAGGATACGCAAGGAGGTCTCTGGATCCAAATCTAGGACATTCCCAAGTAGGTCAGCCTCAGAGAGAGTTGTGTTTTGCACCAGTGTCTGTACCCCTCCTTTTTAATAGCCATCCTAACGAGTGTGATATGAAAATGAGATTCTTGGAAGTATTCTTTCATCAACTGTGAATCTTACCAACCTAAGTCAACACAAAAACAAGCATGTAGTCCAGAGACCAAATGACAGGCCCCAAACACACAATCATACAAAATGCAGCATAATATAAGTACAGGACGAATCAAAAGACCTGGATTTGAGTAGCAGCTGCCCCACCCTATATGATCTTAGAAAATTTTGGGACCAGCAGACAACATAATGGTCATGTTGCTGGATTCCCACATAGTCGACTGTGGTTCAAGTCCCAGACCTGGCAGCTTAAAGCTCAGGCCAGTGTGTGTGCGTGCCCAAAATCCTGAAAGAACGGAGGAGGAAGGACTATAGTGTGGCCTTCCCCCCTGGGTGGTGATTTCTTGCTTTCTGTCTGGTGAGTACACGTGCCCTATAACAAAAAACTCTTCCAAAAAAAAAAAAAGGAAAAGGAAATTTTCTTAACTTTTCTGAGGCTCAGCTACCTTAGCTGTAAAGTGAGAATGTCAACAGTAAGCTCTTTGCAGAATTAAAGGATTATGTGTCACCAGTAAAAGTACTTAGAAAACTACTTATATTAAGGATATTAGTTGTGCTAATGATTAGCACATTCGTTTTTAGCATATATTTCACAAGTTTTTTTAAAAGAATTATTTAATTTTATTCATTATCGTTATTATTGTTTTGTTTTGTTTTAAATTTGACCAGAAAGAGAGAAAATCAAACAGTAAGCTGCCAGGTCAGGGACTCAAACCACAGTCAGTCATGTGGGGGTCCAGTGCCTTAACCACCACACTGCTTGTCAGCCCCCTTGACAGGAGTTTAAAGAACAGTGCTGCATATTTTTTCTTGTGTGGAATTTGTCATGTTCAGATATTAAGAAATATACTGTAAGAATATTTTTTTAAATATTTCAGTCAAATTATTTTATTTAACTTTATTTACTTATTTATTTATTTATTTAAATTTGACCAGAGTGAAAGAGAGAGAAAGAAAGAGAGTGAGAAAGTGAGAAACCAAGCTGCCAGGTCTGGGACTTGAACAGTAGTCAGCCACGTGGGAGTCCAGCCCCCTGTAGGAATATTTCTTAACATAAAATCTTATAAAATTGTTTCCTTTCCTTCCTTGACATTACAAATACAAAACAAAATTTCATTAAATATTTATAACCTAAGATGTAGTTACACCTTTTTATAAATGAGAAAATGGCCTAGAAAAACGAATGGAGTAAGTAAAGTTCAAAGCTAAGCTGGTGTTAGAATTGGGCCATTTTGTACCATGATTACAGTTCGAGGAAGACATACAAAGGACATAGTGTTTGGTCCAAATTGGTTGGTAGAACTTTTTTTTTTTGAGAGAGATTTTTGCTATTAGGGCACATGCGCTCAGTAGAGACAGACAGAAAGCAAGAAACCACCCCACAGGGGGAATGGCCATGCCACAATCCCTTCTCCTCTTGGGATTTTGGGCACACATGCACACGTGCCTGACGTGAGTTTCAAGCCGCCAGTCTGGGACTCGGATCACGTTTGGCCACATGTGAGCCCAGTACCTTAACCACTACACCATCTGCTACCCAGGTGGTAGAATTCTTAATGATGACAAGTAAGAAAGAATTTCCAGTAGTGGGACCAGCAGTTAGCATAATGGCTATGTTGCTGGACTCCCATGTAGTCGACCGCAGTTCGAGTCTCGGGTCTCAGACCCGGTGGCTTAAACTCATGCTGGGCGCATGTGCATGTGTGCCCAAGATCCCAAAGGAGAATGGAGGAGAAGGAACTGTGGTGTGGCCATGCCCCCTGGGGGGTGATATCTCACTTTCTGCCTCTCTGTCTCTTTCTGGTGAGGGCATGCTTCTTTAGCAAGAAACTCTCAAAAAAAAAAAAAATTTCCAATGATGAGACTCTTAAAGATGAGTTCAAAGTCATGGATAAGAGGACTGCCACCCATAAAAGTAATTTTTACAATGTATCAATACCAATAAATGAACTTATACATTGAGCATCTGTCAAAAATTGAACTGTCCTTAAAGGAAGCCAAGACAAGTCATACCAACCTGTTTTCTGTAAAACCTGCTTTCCTTCAACACTGGATCCGAGAATTCCAATTGTGTCTACTGCTACACCAATCATTGTGGGGTCCTGGCTCTCTGCCATTTCAAAGACTTTTTCCACAAAGACAGGATAACGCTCACAGATCTGTTGAGGACTATCCATGATCGCCAAGTTCCCAAAAAACTTCACGAATCCTAAAAATATTTACAAGAATACATTTCTTAAAACATTTATTTTTTATTTTGAATTTGACCAGAGAAAGATAGACAGAGAGAGAGATAAAGTGAGAAAGCAAGCTGCCAGGTCCGGGACTCAAACCGAGATCAGTCATGTGGATGTCCAGTGCTTTAACCACTATGCTGCCTGCTAGCCCCCACAAAAATACCTTTTAATAGAGGAGCAAGATAACAAAAACTGTGGGTTCTAGGTTTTCTTTTCTTTTTTCTTTTGCTAGAGTACACATGTGCTTGCCAGAGAGAGATAAAGGAAAAAGCGTCCTCCATGGAGAAGGGTCACATTACAATCCCTTCTCCTCCATCTCCCTCCCCTCCTTTTAGGGCTTTGGGCAAGCACATACACAGGCTCTGTATGTTATGTTTCTCAAGCCACCAGGTCAGGGACTCAAACCACACAGTTGGCCATGTGGATCTGGCTGCCTTAACCACCAGGCTACAGAGCCTTTCCCAGGGCCTATGTTTTCACAGTAACAGTAATAACCTGCCAGCCAAAAGCAGGACAGAGGTTAGGGTAGCGTGTTGTCTGGAAGTTAGAGGCCATAAGGAGACATCCTAGGCCCTGCAATGTATAGTCCTGAGAAATGGATAACCCCGTGGTGTCAATGGAGCTGGGAGCTGGGTCCAAACACTGGAATGTTGTCAAATGCAAGAAGGAGAGCAAAGAACAAGGGCCAATGGATTCAAACTTTAGGAAAGCCAAGTTTGGAGTCATTATTTGGAAAGCAATTTTAAACAGATATGTTCATCAATAATGTAAGTTCAACTACCTAAAGAAAAAATAACTCTGGCTAGGGTGGTCTTATATAAAGATTCCAACTCAGAAATTGGATGAATCTATGAAATACACTGTGTCATTAGTACTAAGGTTTTTTCATTGCCAGTAGGTACATGTGCCTGCCAGAGAGATAGAGAACTGCAGGGAAAGGGGCAGGAAGAAAGTACTCCCAATGGGGCATGTCATGCTGCAACCCCTTCTCTTCCATTTCTCCATCTTTTTGGGGTTTGGGGCATGCACACACACATGCCTCCTGTGTGTGTGTTTAAGAGAGATTTTTGCTATAAGGCATGTACACTAGACTGAAACAAAGAGATAGAAAGACAGAGAGAAATCACTCCCCAGGGGGAATGGCCATGCTGCAGTCCCTGCTCCTCAGTTTGCTCTTGGGATTTTGGGTGTGCATGCATATATGCCTGGTCCTGAGTTTTAAGCCATCAGGTCCAGGACTCGAACTACGATCGACTACATGGGAGTCGAGCGACACATGAGTCCAACAACGTAACCATTATGCCATCTGCTGGTCTATGTGTTTTTTTCAAGCCATCAGGGCCGGGATTCAAACCCATGCAGTAGGACACATGGTATCTGGCTCCCTTAACTACCTGGCTATGGGGCCAGCCCTGCATTAGTATTTGTATTTACTTTAAATGATCTTCAAAAGAAAGCTACGCTACTGTCCTAAACAGCACTAATTTTTCCAGAAAATCAGAGTCAACAGTCCATGATTCCCAGGATAATAGATTCTACCTTTTTAGGGACAAGCCCCACCGTGTGTCTTTTTATTTTTTTCAAAATAAAAAAATTGGATAAATACAATGAAATAATTTTAAGGAGTTTTAAGTATTTTATTGCTTTTAATTATTTTTTTAATTGACAAAAATTATATTTATTTATTGTGTTCAACATGTCTTGAAACATGTACACATTACGGAATAGCTAAATTGCTAGTTAATATGCATTACCTCATATATTAATTTTTTTATAGTGTAATACTTAAAATCTACTCTATTAGCAATTTTCAAGAGTATTGATATATATATTTTTTTAATGTCAGAATGGGGGCCAGCAGATGGTGTGGACTTAAGACACTGGACTCCCACATGGTTGATTGTAGTTTGAGTCTTGGACCTAATGGCTTGCTTTCTTGCCTTCTAGGTGCCTTAAACCAACAGAAATGTATTCTCAGTTCAGAAAACCAAGGGCCAGCAGGTGGCATGGTGGTTAAGGACTGGACTCTCACATGGCTGACCACAGTTCAAGTCCCAGTCCTGGCGGTTTGCTTTCTCACTCTCTCTCTCTCTCTGGTGAATGTATGTGCCCTATGGACAAAAATTAAAATAACAATAAATAAAATCAAATAAATAATTATTTTAAAAACAGTGAAAAAATAAAACTAGATTAATAATTCTTAAAAGAAAAGATCACATGGTCTTCACATAGAGAGAATTTAACTCTGTTTTTCCTATTTGGATACCTTTTCTTTCTTTCTCTTGCCTAATTGCTCTGGCTAGGACTTCCAGTATTATACTGAATTGAAGGGGTCAGAGTGGGCATCCTTGTCTTGTTTCTGCTCTTAGAGGAAAAGCTTTCAATATTTCACTGTTAACCACCAAGCTACCCGCTGGTCCCTGAGTCATCCTTTTAAGGTGCTATTGAATCTAATGGCTGTGAATATTTTCTAGAAAGAATTGGCTCTAAGAAAAATAATCCTTGGCTTCTCCTATCAGAGATAACTCACAAACAAAACATGTACCATCATTTCCATAGGCATCAATGTTTCTTACCTGGCAAATAGAAGCTAGAGAAAGGGTCTGAATCGGCCCCAACGATTATGTTAGAAATCTGGTCAATTACTCCTTCTTGAGCGAGGTACTGTCGTCCATGATGAGTATATGCCAGTGAGGTCAGGACCCGGTGGCTTGAAAATCATGCCGGGCGCCTGTGCATGTGTGCCCAAAAGTCCCAAGAGGAGAACAGAGAAGAGAATGCGGCATGGTCATCTGGGGAGTGTGGGGAGATGCATTTTCACTCCCTCCTCCCCCTCTGGCAAGTATACATGCCCTCTAGCAAAACAGCAAACTTAAAAAAAAAACAAACAAAAAAACTATAAGGTAATCAGAAAACAATTTAAGATAGGGAAAACCACACACACAGATATATACATATACACATATACACACAAACACATACACACCTAACAAATACGGTAACTATAATGCTATTATAACAGCGAAATACTTTAAGTAAACCAAATGCTCCACAGTGCGGATATATTCGTAAATGGTACAATTTCAACAAGACATTTAGCAGCTATCTAAGGCAATCAAGAAGTAAGGGGAATGGGCGGCTAAAAGAAACTGGAATTAACATTCTTTTGAGGATTTATGTCAGCTATTGTATTGGTTTCTGTGGTCAATTCACTTAATCTTCATAGTCTCTTCTTTATGGTTGTTAATGTTCTAAGAGATGGGGAAACTGAGATGTAGGAAACTTATAATTTGTCCAAGGTAAAACAGCGAGTAAGTTGTAGAAAGGTATGCAAGCCCAAGTCTTCCTTATTTTCAAAAGCCCATATTTTTTCCAACATGCCACAGAGCTGTTATTTTATGCCAAAAATTACATACAATAAAATGTTACATAAAATGGAATGGCAGATATCATGTGATTGCAACTTTTTAAGAACACACATGCCTAGGGGTAGAGAACAGTCATAGAAAGTAACCGACTGTCACATGGGGCCTGCGAAGTTCCAACAGGTTGTCATGCTATACCGAGGGCACTGTTCTATGGCCCTTTCTCTGGACACATGCCAGTCATGAGACTGCAACCTGGGCACAAGATCTAACACAGAAGATCATGCCAAGTCCCAAGGTTGTATCCTGGCCCTCTAAAAGAGGACATTTCCCTTTGAGAACTCTCTCAGCCAACACACCTGACCAGCACATCCTCACCAGTCAGCTCTCTCAGGAGCTGGGTTACCAATCCACTTGTGGTACAATAGTTTAAAGATTCTGGTGATACAGAAGAAATCTCCACAATGAGCTGAAAGAAAAAATAGAAAAAGGAAAATGGTTTATAGCCCCAAACCTGTTGGATCTCATTGTAAGTTAAATGTATTACTAGAACTAGGTCATTTACTTGATTGAATTCTTAAGAATACACTATTTGTCTTTATAATTAAAAACTTCATAGGAGAAGACACATAAGAGATTATCTTGGCACAAAAATGTTCCATTATAACCAGAGGTATTGGCATTTTTCCTACCCAAAGGAATCATCAATCAGCGTACAAAAGCCTGAGTTAGCAACATCAGATGATCAAAACCACTCATTTTTCTTGTATCCTGCCCATCATTCATTCACTTACTTATTCAACCAGTGTCCTGATGGTTTACTGAGATCTAGGAAGGTATTAAAGGGTTTTTTATACAGAGAAGTGACAGAAGCGATTTGAGTTTTTAAAAGGTCATTGGGACTGCATAAGATAGACAGACTAGGGATGACAAAAAATGGATGAAGGGAGACCACTTGAACGCAAATACAGTAGTCTAGTAGGTTGGTCTAGGATGGTGCTGGGTATACCAAGAAAAATGCCCGGGTTTAGTAAAACAAACATGATGTGATGACCAAATGGATATGTGGCAGGGAGAAGAAGACCTCACGAAGAATGAGTTTGAGGTCTCACTCCTAACTACAGGAACTACCGGCACTGGCCAGTCTGTTGCTGCTGTGTATCAGGAGCACGGATAAGTAAGAATAGGAATTCAGTTTGAACATGAGTATGAAGGGCTTAGAATACGTTCAAAGGGGCGAGAGTAAGCAGTTGGATACGAAGGGCTGAGCTCAAAAGGTAAGCCTGAGTCGGACGTTACGATTGAGAATCATCATCACCTAGGTAAGAACTGAAATCTTTTTTTTTGAGAGTTTTTTGCTATTAGGCGCGTGCCCTCGCCAGACAGACAGACAGAGAGAGACAGAGAGACAGAAAGCGAGAAATCACCCCCCAGGGCGGATGGCCACGCCGCAATCCCTTCTCCTCCGTTCTCCTCTGGGGATCTTGGGCACGCATGCACACGTGCCCAGTGTGAGTTTAAGCCACTGGGTCCGGGACTTGAACTGTGGTCGACTACGTGGGAGTCCAGTGACATAGCCGTTACGCTAACTGCTGGTCCCAAGAACTGAAATCTTAAGATGAATAAAACTGTCTATGAATGAGTACAGGCTATTGTGAGATCAGAGTCCGTGACTTCACCTTTATGAACTCAAAAATGAAAGGTTCTATACAGGAAAACGAAATAGCTAGAGAGGCAGAAGGAAAACCCCGGTAGTGTGGTATTCAGACATGCATGGGGAGAAAGTGTTCTGAGGGGGAAATCAGACTGCAGGGGATTCCATTTTGAATATTCAACCTATTAAATATGTGGCTTTTGGTCAATTACTCCAACAGTGAAGTTAATGATTAATAACGAACCAGGTTTACTGTGAGAATTCAAGATGACACACGTGAGGCTGTTAGCATAGTGCTCAGTACAAAGCTCACGCAAATCGCAATTCTTCTCCTTACTACTATTACAAATTTTTCCCAAGTCTGCTTTCGATAGTATTTTTTCTGTTCTATTAGGTTGCTGGAAAAGTCACAATGCATTTTTGCATAGAAAAACACAGAAAGATATGCCATGACTTTTTCAACGATCCAAGAGTACATACACCACACCATTTATATTGCTTACACGACTGCTGGGAACGCATCTCCAGCACCTAGGGTAAGGCCTGAAACTGATTATGTATTCAATAAGTGCAGGTTAAAGAGCCACCTTGCCCTTTAATGTAAGCCTTAATTGCATTCTGCTTTGTAAACATCAGAAAGCGTGTTTTAGTCTCACCTCATACACCCTGTACCGAACAATGTCATTTGTCTTCATGACATTTTTCAAATCATCTAGCAGATTGCTTTCAAATAAAGCCTCCAGTCCAGCTTGGGTCAGTGATATTCTTGACAGGGATTTGATAGCCTTATAAGGAAAGAAAATATCCCATAAATCACAAAAATGCAGAATTCTTACTATCTACTGCGTAAGAATGATATAAAAATTAGAACATGGAACACGACTTTCTCGATGCACATTCACTGTCTCAGCTATCACTATTTATAGTCGGAAAGGACATATGGTATTCCCACTGGGATACAGATTATGTAAGTTTTGTATCTTATCAAGCAACCCTGTGTAAGCTCTATATTGGATACTGTAGATACGTGTGTCTTAGAGAGATTTGGGTACAATTTTTTTTGTTTTAGAGGTTTTCACTATAGGGCGCGTGTGCTCGCCAGACAGACAGAGACAGAAAGTGAGAAATCACCCCCCAGGGGGGATGGCCACGCCGCAATCCCTTCTCCTCCATTCTCCTCTCGGGATCTTGGGCATGCACGCACATGCGCCCGGCATGAGTTTTAAGCCACCGGGTCCGGGACGCGAACTGCGGTCGACTACGTGGGAGACCAGCGACATAGCCATTACACCAACAACTGGTTCCCAATTGGGTAGAATTTGTTTAACAACCATTTAGGTAGTCGATACCATTTACATAAGGTTGCAACCCAATGACACAAGTTCCCTATTTTAAACTTCACCCCTTCATCAAAAAGACCTTCATTTGTCTCTTAGGACATGAACGTCTCTGCATGTTTAAGCTGGGGATTCTAGCAGACTCACCGCTTTAGCTACAGAGAGATTCTCTCCACCAATACAATAAACAATTTGTTTCAGTAATTCACAATTATTCAGAATCTCAGTAACGGCATCAGAATTTTCAACAATTCTTCCAACCTGGGAAAAAAGAAGCCAAAAAGCAAGAAAATGATTAGAAACACTGTTCCAAGGCAGGGCAACATGTAAAACTACAATGGTCAAATATTCTCACTGTGTAATTATTTCAGTAATTAGTAAATACAGTTATAGGACAAGTCATTAAAAATTCAAATTGATCTGTGCCAGTCCCATAGTGCAGCAGTTAAGGGAGCCAAATCCTACATGGTCAAATGCAGTTCAAATCCCACTCTGGTCACTTAAAAAACACCAGGGCACATGTGTGTGCATGCCCCAAATTCTGATGGAATAGATAAATGAAGAAGAAGGAACTGTAGTGTGATCATGCCCTACTGGGGGTTGGGGAGGAAGAGGTGCTCTCTCTTTCTCTGGGGAGTATGTGTGCCCTTTGGGTAATTAAAAAAAATGTTCAAAGTAACCCAAATTCATTAAAACTAAGCACATACATGGTATAGTTGAAAGAAAATAGTGAGTTTCAAGTTGAGGTAGTTCAACAAGTGAAAAATATACAAATCCCAGTTCTGTCAATGTTTAGCTGCATCGACCTTGGGCAAATAATTGGGTTGTCAGAAATGTCATGACAAATTTTTCTTTCTTTTTTTTTTTTTTCGTTTTAAGGAATTATTTTATTTAACTTGATTTATTACTATTATCATTGTTATTTTCCAGTTTGGTCAGAGAGAGACAGAGAGGAAATGAGAAAGCAAGTCACCAGGTCCAAGATTTGAACCGTGGTTGGCCATGTGGGAGTCCAGCGCCTTTAACCACTATGCCACTTGCTGGCCCCTGTCATGACAAATTTTTCTAAGCAAAAATGCATTATGACTTTTCCGACAATCCAATAAGTAAGTTCTTTGAGTCATTCTTATCTGTCAAATGGGAATATAATACTTAATTCCAGTTATGAAGATCAAATGAGTTTAAATAGCTAAATCATCCACTACAGTGTCTGGCACATAAATGGTCGATGAATAAAGTGACACTGTCCCCCTCTTTATTGAATAAAACTTTAAGAGGAGGAAAGGAAAGTCATAGTTGAGGATGTATTAGATTAACTCTAATATTTCAACAAAATAATCCTTAGCGGCAGCTCTTCATTCAAACAGTGCCCTGTCCCAGTTACCTAGCTGAAAGTTAATGTCTTAATTTGCTGCTTTAGTTACCTTTACAACACTTGGTTCATGGCACTATCATAAGACCTAATAGGGCTGAGTAGCTTTTGAACACATGCAAGTCTTTTCACTAGTCTAGGAGCTCCTTAAAGAAAAGAAGTTAGTTTTATTTATCTTTGTAACTCCAATAGCATTAGCACAATGCCTTGCACATAAAATAATTCAGTCAGTCCTTGGTGAGTGAATGATTCAGGTGGTAATTAGTAAAACTTACTTTAGTTTGTGTCTATCCCCCAGATCACATTTAGCTAGTCACATTGGAAGAGACCACACACTTCCCACTGACAGAAAGACTGTTTTCTTCATCTCTCTGTCTTAGGCATCTAGTGCAGGTTCCCAGAACAGCTGGTCAATGTCAGTTCTTTCTTACACGTGCCAGTAAACTTTCATACCTGGGACAGAGTGAGGATTTTCACAGAATCATCAGGGTGAGTCAGTCCTCTCTGCAGGTCAGCCCTGAGGTTCCTGGCCACGTGAACTGGCTCCAGAGCTTGGAGCAATCTCTCCAGAATGGATACACATAAAGTTGTCTGTTCCCTAAAGAAGACAGCAGAGATCTCATTAGGACATGTCCTGCCAGATAGCAAATAACAATCCCAAGATATCTGAAGCTTAGTTCCTTGAGGATCTTCTTCATGCAGAAACAGCAGCATCTACTAATGTACTAAACATTTCCTAAATATCTATTATGAGACATGCTTGTACCAGGCTACCAAGGACAGAGATGTATTCTCTTATTTCAAGGAGCTCAGTCTAATGGAAGATACAGAAAAAAGAAAAATTATAGTCAGGTACATGAATACTACAGGCTAGACTTTGAAATGATGGGAACTTAACAAAGTAAGTACCGTGATATGGGGAAGTCGTCCCAGAGGGGTCACATCTAAACTACATTTCACGAAAAAATGGAAGTTATCGATTAATAGAAGAAAGGTGTTCTGGGGAGAGGAGGTATTAGCACATAAAAAGGCACAGAGAAACGAGACAGTTGTATACTTTCATGGAACCTGACAAGTAACTTGATGACTACCAGCTGTAACAGATACAGAAGTCAGAAAGGGGGAGAGCTGCATGATCCTCCAAAACCGGGACACGAACCGCGGTCGACAACGTGGGAGTCCAGCGACATAGCCATTACGCTAACTGCTGGTTCCCCAACAGTTGTATACTTTCATGGAACCTGACAAGTAACTTGATGACTACCAGCTGTAACAGATACAGAAGTCAGAAAGGGGGAGAGCTGCATGATCCTCCAAAACTTATGCTGAATATAAATGCCACTCTAATGTACTGGAAGGTGGGGGTTTTTAAGATGTGATTGGGGGGACCGGCAAGTGGCGTGGTGGTTAAGGCACTGGACACTCTCGCATGGCCGACCATGGTTCGGGTCCCAGACGTGATGGCTTGCTTTCTCACTTTCTTCTCTCTCTGTCTCTCTGTGTCTCTCTGGTCAAATTAAAATAAATGAATGAATGAATAAATGACATTGAATAAAATTTTTAAAAAAAGATGTGATTAGGTAATGAGGTCTCTTTTAAGAGGTGATTAGGTAATGAAGGATCTGCTCTCAGGAATGAATGAATACCATTTTCTCCAGAGTGGGCTCCTGACAGAAGGTAATTGGATCCCAGTTTCTCTCTCGCCTGCTCTCAGGCCTTTCTTCTGTTATGACACAGAAAGAAAGCTCTCACTAGTTACAAACCCTGGCCTGGTCTTGGGCTTTTCAGTTCTAAATCTTTCTTTTTTAAAAAGAATTATTTTATTGAACTTTATTTATTTTAATTTGATCAGAGAGGGACAGAATGAGAGAGAGAGAAAGTGAGAAAACAAGCCACCAGGTCTGAAACTCAAACCGTGGTTGGCCATGTGGGACCCCAGCGCCTTTAGTCACCATGCCACCGGTGGGCCCCTCTAGATCTTTCTTTCTAAATTACTTGGTCTGTAGTGTTCTGTTACAGCAGCAGCAGAATAAGGTGGGCAGATGATAAAAGGGTGTGGTGAATGGCAAAAAGAAACTGGGAAGATGCAAAGAAGCCAGATTCTGACAGGCCTTTTATATCATGCTGGGAATGTAGACTCCTTCCAAAAACAGCAATGGCAAGCCATGGAGTGGGAAAACAGAGAAGGTACAGGGTGAGATCTGACCTGTAGAAACCTCTGTGCATCAGTGTCAGAAAAAGAATTTGCAATCAGAAGGCAGTAATGGAGACTGATGATGAAGGTGTGAACCAGAGTAGCAGGGCAGAGGGAGGGAAAAGATCTAAAAGCCCTTGAAGAGGGAAATTAATCAGAACTTGGCGACTACCAGTTGTAATACAGAAGGTATTTCGAGAACAATGTCTCTTAATAGTATAAGCAAATAGGCTAATATACCATTCACAGGTGTTCACATTAAACTGCCATACCTTTTTAGAAGGTGACTATGCAATATAAGTCAAAAGCCTAAAAAATGAGCATACCCTTTTAAGTCAAGGACTCCATTTTGCATAATGGAGCCTAAAGTAGTGATTACAATGTTTTTACGCCCAAAATAACTGAAGACTCACGTTCACATAAAAATTTGTACAGAATGTTCATACCACTGGAAACAACTCAAAGTGTTCACCAACTGACGAATGTCTAACTGTGGTATATCATACAAAAGAAGACCATTTAAGCCATCAAAAGGAATCAAGTCTTGGGCTGGCCCCATAATCTAGTAGTTAAGGGAGCAGGATTCCACACAGCCCATCACGGTTTGCGTCCCAACCCTGGTGGCTTTAAAAAACATACTGGGGGCCAGCAGGTGGCATGGTGGCTAAGGTGCTGGACTCCCACGTGGTTGATTGAGTTTTGAGTCCTGGACCTGGTGGCTTGATTTCTCACTTTCCCTCTATCTCTGGTAAGCACGCATGCCCTACATAAAATTAAAAATTAAAAAAAAAAAAGCAAATAAAATTAAACAAATAATTCTTAAAAAAAAAAAAAAAAGAAAAGTGAGTACAAATACTTTCATGCTCCCAACAGGACAGAGAAATGGAGATGGAGATGGGGTGGACTGTGGAGTGGCCGAGACCCACTGGCAGAGCGTGCTTTTTCTATCTCTGGTGAACAAAAGTGCTCCCTGCAATCCCAAAGAAAAAAAAAAACCCAAAGGGAATGAAGTACTGATACATGCAACGTGAGTGAACCTTGAAAATATTTTGCTAAGTCAAAGAAGCTCGTCACAAAAGGCTTCCTTCTTATTTTTTTTAAGAGGTTTTTGCTATAGGGTGTGTGCGCTAGCCAGACAGAGAAACAGAGACAGAAAGCAGGAAATCACCCCCCAGGGGGGATGGCCACGCCACAATCCCTTCTCCTCCATTCTCCTCTTGGGATCTTGGGCACGCACGCACATGCACCCGGCGTGAGTTTTAAGCCACCAGGTCCGGGACGCGAACCACGGTCGACTATAGAGTCCAGCAACGTAGCCATTACGCTAACTGCTGGTCCCACAAAAGGCTTCCTTCTGATGATGATTCTACTTATATGAAATGTCCAGAATAGACAGACAGAAAGCAGACTCCTGGTTGCCAGGAACTGTGAGAAGGAAGGAGAGGGGAAAAGGGGAATGACTGCTTATAGGTACAGGTTTCTGTTTCTTCTTCCTTTTTTTTTTTTCTCTTAATTATTTGTTTAATTTAATTGTTTTTTAAATTTGACCACAGGGATCATTTGAGGGAGAGGGGAAAAGGGGAATGACTGCTTATAGGTACAGGTTTCTGTTTCTTCTTCCTTTTTTTTTTTTCTCTTAATTATTTGTTTAATTTAATTGTTTTTTAAATTTGACCACAGGGATAACTTGACCACAGAGAAACAGAGAGAGAGGGAAAGTGAGAAAGAAAGCCGCCAGGCCCAGGACTGGGACCATGGTCGGCTACATGGGAGTCCTAAACCCTAACTACCACTCCACTTGCCAGCCCCCAGGTTTCTGTTTCTTAAAAATAAAAATTCAGGGGACCAGCAGTTAGTGTAATGGCTATGTCGCTGGACTCCCATGTAGTCTACTGTGGTTCGTGTCCCGGACCCGGTGGCTTAAAACTCACATCGGGCACATGTGCGTGCGTGCCCAAGATCCTGAGAGAATGGAGGAGAAGGGACTGCGGCGTGGCCATCCCCCCTGGGGGGTGATTTCTCGCTTTCTGTCTCTCTGTCTCTCTCTGTCTGTCTGGCGAGCGCACGCGCCCTATAGCAAAAAAAAAAAAAAAACTCTCAAAAAAAAATTCAGATTATACATAAAATAAAATTAACCATGTTAAACCATTTTTAAATGTGTAGTTCTGGGTCAGTAAGTACATTCACACTGTTGTGTACCCGTTACCAACATCCATCCCCAGAACCTTATCATCTTCTCAACCTGAAACTCTGCATCCTTAAGTACTCTCCATTCTCCCTACCCCCCAGTCCCCAGCAAGCACCACCGTATTTTTTGTCTCTCTAAATACGACTACTCTAGATAGATCATGTAAATGGAATCATACAACATTTGTACTTTGTGCATGACTTATTTCACTTAGTGTTATCTTCAAAACTCACCTGACTGAACACTTTTTTTTTTTTGCCTTTTTTATTCCCCCCCCAGACTTTCTTTTTAAAGCGGTACACACACTATCCCACTGTATGTGTACACATTTTATCTACCCAGTTACCTGTTGACAGACACCTGGGTTTCAGTGCTTCTAAAAATGTTACCCATTCTGGGCTGGCAGGTGGCGTGGAGGTTAAGGTGCAGGATCCCACCTGGCTGCCTGCATGATTCGCGTTTCAGATCTGGTTTGGGAATCACACTAGGTGTTTGCATGCCCAAAATCCTAAAAGGAGACTGGAAAAGGGGATGGGATTGTGGCGTAGCCATCCCTCCCCTCCCCAACCCCTGATCCGGGAGCACACACGCACCCTATGGTAAAAACGTTTTTTTACGTGTTCTAATAGATGTATAGAATGTCATTCTGATTTCAATTTGCATTTCCTTAATAACTAATGATGTTTAGTATTTCTTCATATGTTTATTTTCTTTTATTTAAAGAGATTTTTGCAATAGGGTGCATGTGCTTGCTGGAGAGAGAGAGATAGAGAGACAGAATGTGAGAAATCACCTCCCCAAGGTGGATGGCCATGCCACAGTCCCTTTCCTTCCATTCTCCTCTCAGGATTCTGCCTGGCTGAGTTTCAAACTGCCAGGTCTAGAACTCAAACTGTGGTCGACTACGTGGGAGTCCAGAAACATAACCATTATGCCATCTGCTGGTCTCCATGTGTTTATTTTCTATCTATATATCTTTTCTGTTTTGTTTTCATTTTGAATTATTTTATTATTTTTAAAAATTTTATTACCAGAGGGAGAGAAAGTGAGAGAGCAAGCCGCCAGGTCTGGTACTCGAACTGCAGTTGGCCATGTGGGAGTCCAGTACCTTAACCATCATGCCACCCGCTGGTCCCCTCCATCTACATAGCTTGTTCCAATCTTTTGCCACCCTCCCCCCCTTTTTTTTAGATTGTTGCCATAGGGTGCGTGTGCTTTTTGGGGACGAGAGAAAGAAAGGCAGAGAAGAAAAGCAATAAAGCACCCCCCCAAGAAGGATGACCACACAGTAATCCCTTCTCCATTCTTTTCTTGGGACATTGGACATTCATGCATGCATGCATGTACACACACACACACACACACACACACAGACCCACACCCATAGTGGTTTTTTGAAGCTCCTGAGTCTAGGACTTGAACTGCAGAGTTAGCCATGTGAGACCCGGTGTGTAAACCACCGTGCCACCTGCTGACCCATTTTGGTCCACTTTTGTGTTTTTAGAGATTTTTTTTGTTATAGGGCATGTATGCTTGCTGGAGAAATGGAGACAGAAAGTCTAGGGGGATGGTTATGCTGCAATCACTTCTCCATTCTCCTCTCAGGATTCTGGGCATGTGCACACGCGTGCACTTGTGCACATACATACATACATACACACGCCTAGTATGAGTTTCAAACCTCCAGGTCTGGGAGTTGAACTGCAGTTGGCCACATCCAGCGTCTTAACCACTGGCCCTCTACTGGTCCCCATCTTTGCCCACTTTTTTAACTGGATAATTTATTTATTTATTTTTTTTTTAAGAGAAATTTTTGCTATATGGATTTGAACCTCAATTGGCTACATGGAGTCCAGTGCCTTAACCACTATGCCAGCTGCTGGTCCCCATCTTTTTTTTTTTTTTTTTTAAAGAGATTTTTGCTATAGGGAGTGTGTGTTAACCGGAGAGATAGAGACAGAAAGATAGAAAGTGAGAAATCAGCCCCCCAAGGGGGGATGGCAACACTGCAATCCCTTCTCCATTCTCTTCTTGGGATTTTGGGCACACACACGTCCCCAGCATGAGTTTGAAGATGACAGGTCTGGGACTCAAACTGTGGTCGACTATGTGGGAGTCCAGCAAAGTAACCATTATACCATCTGCTGGTCCCTCTTTGTCCACTTTTTCTTTTTTGAGAGGTGTTTGCTATAGGGCATGTGCACTCACCAGAAAGACAGAGAGAGAGAGAGACAGAAAGGAAGAAATCCCCCCCCTCCCCCCAGGAGGGATGGCCATGCCACAATCCCTTCTCCTCTTTCTCCTCTCAGGATCTTGGGCATGCACACAGGCACATGTGTCTGGTGTGGAGTTCAGCGACATAACCACTACGCCATCTTCTGGGTCCTACCATTTTTTTTTTTTTTTTTTGTGAGATACCATTTTTTTTTTTTTTTTTGAGAGATTTTTGCTATAAGGTGTGTGCGCTTGCCAAGAAGACAGAGAGAGACAGAAAGCGAAAAATCACCCCCCAGGGGGGATGGCCACACCACAATCCCTTCTCCTCCATTCTCCTTGCGGGATCTTGGACACACACGCACATGCGCCCAGTGTGAGTTTAAGACACCATGTCCTGGACTTGAACCGTGGTTGACTACATGGGAGTCCAGCAACAAAGCCATTACTCCATCTGCTGGTCCCACCTTTTATTGCAAACCTCAACAATGTATGTAGAAACCAGACCCTTGCCTTGGAGATAAGGTATCTGTGCAGATCTTACAGGCGAGGTATGTACTCTGCCCAACTAATTCTCTGCCAGCCATCAGCCAAGCTTCTGTCCTACTTCTATAAATACATAAATTCATGTGTGACCCTGCTGGCCTTCTCCGGGAGTATTCTATGGAAACAAATATTACTGGCAAGTCCTCTCAGATTTGGGGCTTTCCTAGGACAGCTAAGCCCGAATACCAAACTTAAAAGTCATGATTTTACACGGTAGGCAATGGGAAATGAGAAAAAAAAACCTTGAGTCAAATGACCTGAGAAGTTCACTGCAGTGTGGGAAGGACTCACTATAAAAGGAAACTTAGACTAGACACTTACTTCATAGGCAGATCTTAATAATGTTAATGGATTTAATGAAGAGAGAACATTTATGAAAAAGGGAAGAATCTCAAAAGATCAGAGCCAAGAAAGCCCACTGAAATCATCCAGTGTGGACACAGTGGTTCATTACTCTTTCAAGTAGAAAGATCACTTTGAAATTTCTGGGTCTTTAACATTTAAAAACTTTTAAATGATCAAATACAAAGTGTTTTTAATCAAACACCACCGGCCTGCATGTAAGCAAAGGTAAACATTGCTGTGCTGCCACTGTAAGTCCCATGCTCAAATGAATAGTTTCTGCTCTCTCTCTGTAGATTTCCCAATGTTATTCAAGTTATATGAAGGGACTTCAAAAAACTCATGGAAAAATGGAATCGAAGTACGATTTATTTTGGCAAAGACATTGATATTCACGTACAGTTTTTTTTCATAATACCCATTTCCCACAAACTTTTTAAAAGCTCCCCCTTATAATACAGTTGGTGTAGGGGCGGGAGATGATAATCTTTTAAAAAAAAATTCCACGTAATGGAATCATAAACTTCTCTCATTTCTTTTTTTTCATTTAACAACTTATATGAGATCTTTCCACTCGTAGATCTACATAAATTTTTTTAATGGTTGCACAGCCTTACATAGGAATATCTCATCATTTAGAATCCCCTTTTAATGGCTATTCAGATTGTTCCGCATACCATCTGTAGGACTATTCCTGTGTATATATAATAGCACACTTTGTGCCGAGGAGGGCACCCCTCGGAGGCTGGATTTGAACTCCATCTTCCCCCGTCTGTCGTTTCGGTTATTTGCTGCCTACCCTACGACCTCGCCCACGCACCCACCCCCGGCTCCAAACGCGGAGGGTGCCCCATTCCCCCGCTCAAGCCCTGGGGGCGGCTCACCGGTGGTTGTCGTTGAGCAGGGAGAAGAGCGGGCCGAGGCGCAGCTCCGCCGCTTGCTCGCGAAGCTCGCTGAGCGGCACGGCCTGCAGCACCGACTGCAACGCGCGCAGCTCCTCCAGCGGCGCCTCCAGCCGCGCCACCTCCCTCAGCAGAGCAAGCGCCTGCGGCCGCCCCCCCTCCCTCAGCAGAGCAAGCGCCTGCGCCGCCATCTTGCCCCCCTCCCGCGGAGGCTCGGCCGCCGGCCGGCTCCCTGCTCCCGGGGGTGCTTCGCCCAGCATCGCGAGATCTGCCGAGCGCCGCCTACCTTCTCCCTCGGAAGCAATTGCCATCACTCGGCTGGACCAATAGCCTACGCGAGCTCGGGAGCTCTGAAGCCTCGCGAGGCCGAGTCCTCTCGGACCCAAGGCAGGTTGCGAGTCGCTGCGGGACTCTCGCAGTCGGATGCCCCTTCTTGGGCTTCCCTCGGTTGGTCACCGAGTCCTACTGCCCAGTAGGCTTTTGCTTTGACCTCAGAGGGCAGAACCTCGCCAAATCCCACCTGCGGGCGGCCGTCTGGCCGAGATCAGCAGTTGTGGAGGGCTTGGGGAGTCTAGATCCCTGGCCAGACACGTTTCTAGAGGAGGTGGGGGTCAGGTATCTGGAAGACAGAATGGAAACCCTTAAGCCGCATGCAGGCATGAGTAGTAGGAATGTGCCACGCCGTTTTGGCGCTCATCAGCCCACCGTGCGCACCATTAAAAACAAGGCAGCGTTCGGGCCGGCGTGCAGAATGCTTTCCAGTGCACAGGCAGACAGGAGAGAGCGTGAGAAAACAACCCCCTGTGGGGAATGGTGCTGCTTCAGTCCATTTTCCGTTTCTCCTTTCCGGATGTTGGGCACACACGTATGCACATTCACCCAGCTGCCAGCTTGAACTGTGCAGTCAGCCATGTGGGATCTAGCTGCTTGCATTCCCGATGATGGGAACGGAGAGGAGATGGAAGCTGAGTTAACGTTTTGGATCGAGGACCAGACCATGGCAGGGCGACATCTGACAATTAAGGCCATCTGGAATCAGGATAAACGCACATAGAGGCGGATGCAACTGGTGGGAGCGACTGGGAAGAGCAGCCCAGGTAAATGTCACACGAGCAGGATTGTTTTGAGAAGTTTGTGAAGTATGAGGTTGATGGGAGGGGAACTGTTAAATGCCCAGTCAGTATCCTTGTGCCAAACAACTCGAGAGGCCCATCCGAGCTAGAGACTGTGTTTCTCAGCAGGTTTTCAACGCCAAAGAGAAGAGCCTTTTTGGGAAGTGCATGGTACTTTGGGTACTTCAGGGAAAACGATAAAAATTCCGAAAGCTTAGGGGAAGCTAGAGGATGGAATTCCTCCCCAGCCCCCACCGTGTGCCTCAGTTGACAAAATGATTAAAATATCGTTATTTTATCAAAGACTGATCCTGTTTGCCTTTGGAAAAAGATAACCACCTTCCTGTTTTCTGGCGATCCCTCCCTGAAGTACCTGTAACTGTCCCTGTTTTGGGATTGGTTTCATTCCTTAAGCCTGTAGTTATTTAACAGAAAAAAAAAAAAATCTTGAACTAGATTGTTGCTAGTTGTGGAGAGAGGTCCCTGTCACCCAGACTCATTATTCTTTGTTGTCTTTTTTGGGGGAGGTGGAGGAGGTGCAGAGACACTGGCAGTAGAGAGACAGAAAACACCTCCCCATGGGGAATGGTGTTGCTTCAATCCATTTTCTCTTTCTCCTTTCCAGATTTTGGGCACACACACATGCACGTGCACCCAGCTGGCAGCTTGAACTGTGTAGTCAGCCGTGTGGGATCTAGCTGCCTTAACCACCAGACCACAGACTAGCCAAATTCTTTGCTCGCTCTAATGCTGATACTGTGTTTCTCCCTCAGGAAGGCGGTAGCTTTCTTCAGCCCGTGGATCAGGGTATAACTGAAGCATTCAGGAGCAATTGCACCAAGCATATGTTTGACCACTTTGCTGACTGTACTGAAAAAAAAAAAAAAACCTTGTTTTTATCTAGAAGGAATGTGGTGACATTACAACAGTGCTGATGCTTTGGCAGTGATCAAAGAGGCAGTGGGTGCTATCAGACCAGCTGCTCCTAATAAAGGTTGGTGGGAGACCAGGAGGATATTGTGACTGGTTGTGCATGTTTCCCTAGAGCTAATGAAGATGCTGAAAAGTTGTAGAGTCTGCAGAAATGAATGGGTTTTCATTCATCAATAATAAGGGAAGAGAGATTAATGAGCTTCTCAAGTTTCAATCTTGGGCAGTAACAGAGTTTATGGTCATAGATGAAAAACAAGACAGGTCCCTGCAACCAGAGGTAAAGCTAAATCTAAGGAAATCAAATGGCATCTTGTGTCAGGCGTCAGACCTCACTGATACTGCAATTGATAAGGATATTTTCCTAGATCAAAGATTAGCTTTTCGAAAAGATTTCAATAAATTGTGCCTATGAAGAAATGCAAAAGAACCTTCAAAATAAAGGGAAGGAGTTGAAGAAAGTATGAATGATGAAGTAGTGTGGATAAAGGCGATAGGTACAGAATCCGAGTCTGAGGGGAAGTCTGAGTTTTGCTCACAGTCTGAGTCTGAATCAGAATTTGATGAAGAAAAAAGTAGAGGTTAAGACACCTCTAGAAGAAAAGTTGAGCCCTTGGGCAGTAGCACTAAGACTCTTGATATATCTGAAGAAACTGCCATGAATGCAGCATTGGGCTTTGGAATCTAATCTAGAAGCATGCACAAATGCAGATCTGGACTTTTGAAATCTAGCTTTCATTCTGAAGAAAGAGGTGCCTAAGTTGAAAGACAACGAGGATCAAGGGGCTGATGCTTCCCAATACCAGTTCGTTCCTTGCTCTCCTTCCTGTTACCAAACAACACCTTCATCACTACCGTCATCCTCAAAATCACCAGCCCCAGATCTGTGTCACTGTCATTGAGTCATTCAACAAACATTGAGTTTCAAGTCTGTACAGAGTGGTGTGCTGACCTTGGGTACATGGACTCAGGAAGTCATGGGATCTGAGGTAAATGGTCATTACAGTGCCCTTTCTTAGTAATGTGGGTATAAAAGACTATCCTCGATTTATTTTAGTGTCTAGAAATATAAAAGTGACCCTTTTGTACAAGACCTTGTGTTGAGGGCTGACTTTGGTAGTAGGTCACAGTGAGGGAGCTGCTTTACCACTAGGAAAACCTCTACCCAGGAGCAGGTCACCTAGGGATGCTTTAGCCCCTGCCCCACCTCCTTTCCCAGCTTCCCTAGAAATGTGCCTTGTCAGAGCTGGGAGTGGCTCTGCACTAGGCTGGTCCTGGGTCCCTGTGCAAGCCGCCTGTGGAGGGGCAGCCAACCCCCAGCTGCCCACTCCCACCTTCCCAGGGCTCAGCTGTTGTACGGTTCTTCCTGGGCAAAATTCTTTGGAGGTTTTCTATTAAGGAAGATTTGTATCTTTCTTTTTAAGAATTATTTTCTTTAACTTTATTTATTTTAATTCGACCAGAGAGGGCCAGTGTGTGTGTGTGCGTGTGTGTGTGTGTATGTGTGTGTGTGAGAGAGAGAGAGAGAGAGAGAACGAGCACACAAGCCGCACGAGCCGTCAGGCCCAGGGCTTGAACCTGGTAGGCCATGTGGGAATCCAGCACCCCTAACCTCCATGCCACCTACTGGCCCCTATGTCTTATGACTGTACATGTCTAGTGACTTTATGATTTTTTGTTTCTTTGAATGGGAAAGGAAAATAGTATATTTTTGTAAAGGTTGTGTGTTTCAAGGGAGATCAGAGCCCTGTGATAATTCCTCCCCCTTCCCCGCCCCTGCGACTGTCTCCTCCCCGCCCAGGGCGAGACCGGGCAGCGGGACAGACAACAGGTGGCAGTGTAGGGGGAGCAGCTTAGGACCCGGGTCTGCCTTCCCCCCTGTGACTGTCTCCTCCTGGCCCAGGGTGAGACGGGGCAGCGAGACAGACAACAGGTGGCCGATGTGGGAGGAGCAGTTTAGGACCAGGGGTCTGCTGTCCAGCCGCCCTTCCGCCTGGGGCTGAGGTTTGCTGCGTGGTGTGGCTGGATTATCTGGTGTGGCTGGATTATCGGCGACGCCATGGACAGGTTGGGGTCCCGGTGCCCCCTGCCTAGCTGCGTGCGGCCCTCTGCCCTTGTGTGCCTCCTGGTGAGTGCCCCATGCTGCTGTGCTGCCACCTTCTGCCCTTTGAGCCCCGATGCGGGCCAGAGGGGAGAGGAGAGGAAGAGAAGGCAAGGCGAATTTCTCTTCACTGCCCCTGGGCTTTGGGGTTGGAGCTCCACCCGGTGTCCTGGAGTTGGGGGGTGGTGCTCACGCTGCCCGCAAGGCTTCCCTTCCAGCCTTGTGGAAACCTGGAGGGGAAAGGTTCCTGGCGAGGCTCCTGAGAGCCCCACATGATCATCTGGTCTTGCTGATGCAGTGACCATCTCATTTCCCTGTCATTTTTCAAGGTGTGTGGCGGGTGGTGTTCTCCACTTGGACCTGTTAAAATACTCAAGTTGGAAGTGACTGCAGCGGTGGTGGGGAGGTGGGAAGAGCTGCAGGAGGGGGTCAGAAGCCCAGCCTTCTAACCTGCCCTCAAGTGCTTTTCTGTTTTTCTCTGTAATCTAATTAAGTTGACATTTTAAAAATAACAGTAAAACCTCCTTTAGAAAGCACCCTACCCCCTACACACGATGGTCACTGGTTTAGTTCGGAAGACTAGTATAGTGTATCAAATTAGGGGCGCTAGTGGGTTAGTGGGAGAGAATGAGAAACCAACTGGACAGGCCTGCGTTTGAAATGGAGCTGAAGACATAAACACAGCACTCAGGCCCTGCCAAGAAGTCAGAGCCAGGACCCAGGCGATACTGTGAAGCGAGTGGGAGGACAGAGGCTCCTTTGAGCAAAGCATGAGTCCCGGGCTGGGAGGCAGGAGAAGCAGGCGCTTGTTCACCCGGCCGGGTCACCGTGTAACTCCTTCACGTCCTCTGTCCTGTCAATGGCTCTGTTCTACCCCCAAACAGAGAACCCCAGAATGGAAGGTGTTTTCTATTTTTTTGTTTGTTTGTTTATTTGTTTTTTCTCGTTGCTCTTATTTTAAATGTCATTAAAATAGTAAGAGAAATCATATGTATTTTTTGAGAGATTTTTGCTATAGGGTATGTGTGCTCGCTGGAGGGACAGAAACAGAGAGACAGAATATGAGAAATCACCACCCAGGGGGGATGGCCATGC